TTTCAGTAGTGGGAACTTTGCATGGCTTGGCTTTACCTGCCATGATTTGTAAGTTCATAGTTGTAATAGTCCGATGTGGTGATCAGAGGAAAGAATGGTTGAAACAGTGTTTGAAAACATTTCTTTTACAATATATAGGAGTGGGAGGATATCCTAACGATTTACAGAGAAGCACAGAAGTGGTTGCATAGCTCAAGGCTTGTATTTACTCTGACAGTGCTCACTACAGAGCCCTTCGTACATAAAGAAAGGCTTTGATGTGTGCACATGGTGTTGGAAGATCTTGTAATATATTCATTTAGTATATGCAGGTTTAATATATAAAAACATGCCAGAATTGGTATTAGTATTGTCTGGTCCAGCCAATTTAACCAATAATCAAGTTGTCCTTAAAAGCAAATTTGTTACTTTGCTGTGAATTGCAACAGAACTGGTTTACATTAAAGCTGAATAATCTAAGGTCATCTTGCTGTTTAACACATTGATTTAGATTAGCACTGCTATTCTGGTTTTAACATTGAAAACGTTACATAGGAAACAATACAGGAATAATGATAAAAATATGGTCACCTCCGCTCTACACAGCTAAGTTGCTGTACTTACTGTACTAGTGGGTAGGGCCTGAATGCATTTCCAAATAGGAATAAGATGATCAATTCAGAAATGCATTTATTTGGCTTTTATTTTTTTGATTATTATTACATATATTTAAGGAATTTAAAGGGGGGGAAATGATGCTGTCGCTTTAAACTTGTTATATGTTATGTTAATGATCAACAATGGAAACAACTCTTATTGTTTGTAAGTATAATAACTGCATTCCTGTCTCCTGTGCATTTAACTTGTTGCATGCGGATCAGCATCGCTTCTCTGTCCTGGGGATGGCCCTTTGCTTCTCCAAGGATGGAGCCAAAGTGAAAGCAAAATACAGACTCAGTCCTTGCAGTCACATTTTGGTTTGTGTACTGCAGCCAGTAAGTTCTGAGTGGAGTGCTGTGTTCTTTCCCTCGCTTTCTTCCTTTACTGTTGTGCGTTGTCCATAGATACCTATTGATACGATGGACCCTTGTGAGAAACCAGTCCTCTGCCCCATAACCTGTTCCGTTCTGTTCAGCATGCATGTTCTCATCAGTGCATGATGTAGCATTTAGTGCCTTGCGGTTCAGTATGATCTGCAAGCTCAGAGACCTAGGGACCTATTTAATAACATAGGGAAAAGAACAGTTTTCGGGATCAAAAACGTACCCTCTAGTGTAAGCACAGCTGTCGGCGCATTTAGCAAAAAAAAAGTTGAGGTTACTGCACACTATTTATCTTGAATATCAACTTCATCTAAAATTTACAGTGGGGCAAAAAAGTATTTAGTCAGCCACCAATTGTGCAAGTTCTCCCACTTAAAAAGATGAGAGAGGCCTGTAATTGGCATCATATGTAGACCTCAACTATGAGAGACAAAATGAGAAAAAAAAATCCAGACAATCACATTGGCTGATTTGGAAAGAATTTATTTGCAAATTATGGTGGAAAATAAGTATTAGGTCACCTGCAAACAAGCAAAATTTCTGGCTCTCACAGACCTGTACCTTCTTCTTTAAGAGGCTCCTCTGTCCTGCACTCATTACCTGTATCAATGGCACCTGTTTGAACTTGTTATCAGTATAAAAGACACCTGTCCACAACCTCAAACAGTCACACTCCAAACTCCACTATGGTGAAGACTAAAGAGCTGTCGAAGGACACCAGAAACAAAATTGTAGACCTGCACCAGGCTGGGAAGACTGAATCTGCAATAGGCAAGCAGCTTGGTGTGAACAAATCAATTGTGGGAGCAATAATTAGAAAATGGAAGACATACAAGACCACTGATAATCTCCCTCGATCTGGGGCTCCACGCAAGATATCACCCCGTGGGGTCAAAATGATCACAAGAACGGTGAGCAAAAATCCCAGGACCACACGGGGGGACCTAGTGAATGACCTGCAGAGAGCTGGGACCAACGTAACAAAGGCTACCATCAGTAACACACTACGCCGCCAGGGACTCAGATCCTGCAGTGCCAGATGTGTCCCCCTGCTTAAGCCAGTACATGTCCGGGCCCATCTGAAGTTTGCTAGAGAGAATTTGGATGATACAGAAGAGGATTGGAAGAATGTCATATGGTCCGATGAAACCAAAATAGAACTGTTTGGTAGAAACACAACTCGTCGTGTTTGGAGGAGAACACCATACCTACTGTGAAGCATGGGGGTGGCAACATCATGCTTTGGGGCTGTTTCTCCGCAAAGGGACCAGGACGACTGATCCATGTACAGGACAGAATGAATGGGGCCATATATCGTGAGATTTTGAGTGCAAACCTCCTTCCATCAGCAAGGGCATTGAAGATGAAACGTGGCTGGGTCTTCCAACATGACAATGATCCCAAACATACGGCCCGGGCAACGAAGGAGTGGCTTCGTAAGAAGCATTTCAAGGTCCTGGAGTGGCCTAGACAGTCTCCAGATCTCAACCCCATAGAAAACCTTTGGAGGGAGTTGAAAGTCCGTGTTGTCCAGCAACAGCCCCAAAACATCACTGCTCTAGAGGAGATCTGCATGGAGGAATGGGCCAACATACCAGCAACAGTGTGTGCCAACCTTGTGAAGACTTACAGGAAACGTTTGACCTCTGTCATTGCCAACAAAGGATATATAACAAAGTATTGAGATTAACTTTTGTTATTGACCAAATACTTATTTTCCACCATAATTTGCAAATAAATTCTTTCCAAATCAGCCAATGTGATTGTCTGGATTTTTTTTCTCATTTTGTCTCTCATAGTTGAGGTCTACTTATGATGCCAATTACAGGCCTCTCTCATCTTTTTAAGTGGGAGAACTTGCACAATTGGTGGCTGACTAAATACTTTTTTGCCCCACTGTATACTTAATATTGATAAATTTAACCTCCACCAGAATTCTTACTTTTCCTTCCATAGTCATTACAAGGCCAGATGATGCTACACTTTTTTATATATATATATATATATATATATATATATATATATATATATATATATATATATAATCTCCTACAAAAGCATTAAAATTTATTGTCAAGGCAAAATAAAAACAATCAAAAAAAATGTGCATCACAGTAATGTGCACATCTCCTGTTTTGTCCTTTTGACCACTTCAGTACTCACCTGTACATACTCCATTACCAGGCTGTTATTCAGTTTTCAGTGTTAAAGTAATGTAACAATTAGTCATATAGTGTACCAAATATATATATAATTATAATACTTTCTTTTGGTAGACAGAGCATTCTTTTGGTTGACTTTATTTACAACAATTTTTTACTTTGTGAAGGAAAGAAGACCACACATTTTAGTTCTTTTTAATTTACCATTTATTTCTTTAACTTTTAAAAAACAGTCCCACTATCATTGGTAGCCAATAGCACTTTAACCATCCCTGTGTGTGCAAATATTCAGCCTATTCATAATAGAGAATGGGGAGTTTACCCGCTGTGAACGGACTGAACGTTTGTAAACATTAGTGCTGTGATTGGACCACATGGGTAAAGTGCCACTCTGATTTGATCTGTCCGGTGAATGCTGGCTGCTTTAGTGTTTTTTCTGAGCTGTAGGTTGTTAAAGGCTCTACAGAAATACCAGCCCAACGCCCTGCCATTTCTTTTGCAGTAAAGCATTATGGAGGTGGTTGACTACACAGCAAGTACAGAAATGCATGTGTTGTCATCTCTTCCCGTTTAATTTCTGGTAAATTACAAAGAACACGACCTCTCCATCTTTCCCCTTGTCCTTGTCTCCATAAGGCTGCTCTTAATCCTTTGTTGCACAAACACAGTTTAAATGTATCTTGCGTTTTTGACACGTTTTCAGTGCATTTTGCACCTGTGAAAAAAAACAAAAAAACTTGTGACTCCAAAAACACAACCTAGGGTCCAAAAAATGCAGCTAGCAGAAACATAACTGATTTGGTGTGAAGAGCTTCAAAGGATTTAATAATCATGCATTTTTCTTCCACTTTTGGTAAGGCTAGAACGGAAGAAAAATGAATCGGTGTGAAATGGACCTAACCCCTCTTTGTGTACAGGCAGAGAAAATAGAAAGATGGGCATTTTTTGTACTTATCCAAGAGCTCTATCTGAAATGTGCAATGGTTTAGCGGAGCAAATGAGAAAAACTCATTGTCAGGGTTTACATGTACTAGCAATTCTTGAATATCCGATGACATGAGAACCTAGTAAGGGATTTTAACCATTAATGCCCCGAAATTTGCATTCAAATAGCCCTGTATGCAAACATAAAACTGACCAACTGTGGCTATTCTGATTTACTACTATGGGAGATGCACATATTTATAGGATGTTCAAGAATATATTAAACAGTCACTGAGGGAGAAACCATATATATTTGAGTGATGGCTTAGTATCTTGCTGAAATGAGAAATAATGCTCTTGGATGCTTTTTGGCATCCAATGTAAATTGAGGGCACTGCTCCGCACCTGTGATATCCGGCTGCAGCATACAGCTGCCCATACTAATGTATCACTGTATACTAGCAGTACATGCATAAACTCATGCACAGGTGTAAATCCCCGAGCGCAGCTTTTGTGCTTCCAGGAATTTTTGCCCATGAGTGAGTGGCAGCGTATACCTGCGCACAGCCAGTGATCACTATGGGAGGCTGTACACTGTTGCTGTGTACCTTGGATGCGGAATTACTGCAGCAATTTACATTGGATGCCTGAAAGTGTCCATGTGCATGAGGCCTGAGGGTGTCTGAGCTGTATACAGATATGATCTCTTGTAGTACCTAAATACACGTCTATGAAAGGGAAGACAGATTGAAAATATTCATCCTACTTGTTTGTACTTTTTAAAACAGGAACGTACAGCCATTGTCTTCAAGTCTTTTTAGTTTATTTTGATTGCAGTATATGTATTTGTTTTAGTTGTCATTTTTTTGCTAACATGTATGCTTCTTTACAGCTACCCAGTCTTGCGAGGAGAAAGTTCTAGCCTGGGAAAGCCCGGGTCAGACTTTGGAGATAGAGCATGCCCAGCCTGAGCCAATGCTCACTCCAGTTGTACCATTTTCACTTAGCAATTCGCTGTGTAAGTTAGCTGTTAGATGGCAGCCCAGTAGAGCGTCTTTTGGTACTGACCCACCCTAGTTACCAATATATGTTAATCATCACTATTAATTTTCACACCTACCTACCTTTTCCTATAGCGGTTCTTTATAGTCCCTACCTATCAGAGGAGGGCTGGCAACCATCAGCCTGTGGGGAAACGGTGGGGTCATGAGCAATCACATTGTAAATACCACTCTCCTTTTTTTTTTCCTCTGAGTTTTGTTTTGATAAATGTAAACATACAGACATAGTAGTTAACTGGACATGCTACCTTCTGCATATGATCACAATAGAACACAAAACTGTGTTTAAATTTCTCATATCACCACAGAAAACCCCACAGATCTGAACTCCTTTCTATAGACTTTGCCCCGTGCCAGCCCTCGCCTGTTAACTGTACTGACCTATTGTATCTTAATGTAGGTAGAGTCTAACTGTGCTCAAAAGATCAATATGGGCTTCTTGTGCTATTTTCTGCATCACATGGCTATATGTCATTCATAACTGGTGTACTTTTTCTTTCTCTTTGGGGGTAAAAAGCTTGTTCTTTGAATTGCTGATATATTACATTGAAAAGGATGAGGCTTCCATTTTCTGCTTTCAGATACATATAATGTCTACTTTAGGTGTGAAATCTTGTGTTTTCACCTGCTTTTTTGGCCTATTTGGCTTACAATAATGAGTCTATAAAATAACAGTGTTGGGGTCATAATATGGTGTGTAAAATTGCTGCCGTCTGTTTTTTACCTTTCTTGCTGACTTGTGGTAAGATATGAAGAGGGAGAACATTTCCATCTAGTACCCATATTTTTGTTACTAATAATCAGTCAATTTAGCATTTATCAGAACATTACTGTCATATGATATCTTCATTAAGCAGATGCCGACAATACATACAGTATAGTCTGTGTTGTATATACATCAACAGCAGATGCAAGTTAAATTCCTAAATTCTCCTGCTTGAGTGCTGTAGAATATTTCACAAAATATGCCTTTTGTGAAAGTCACTTTGCTTCTGTGGTCCATTGGTTTTCAGTTTATATACACATATTGGCTAGCACTGACAATATGTGTAGATTTAGGAATGCTACACCTTGCAAAGTGAGGAATGTGTAATGTGACAATGCCCTTTCCCTTTTTATTGATGTGATTTTGCCCTTATCTCCCTCATACTACTAAAATACACAGCAGCAACATTTATAAGATGTAACTATAGTTCATTAGGCTTTACCTTTGCAGTGCCATTTATTGAATTATATAGAATAATGTATTGTTAATTTCAGTGACCTACTCCTCTTGCTTACTACAAGAAGAGATACTTGCACTTGAAAAAGATTGGATTGAAATAATTTCCCATTGCTAGTCCACAGTATGTTTGGGGACTCAAAGAGATTATATTTTTACCATGGTTTAGCCCAAGGAGGTTAGGTACTGGAGTGGAGTTTGCTGCTGGGCATCTTCATGTTCTACCTTTGTCTTCTTTCCAATTGATTTACCCAATGAACCCAGTAAATCATAGTTTTGTTTGTGTTAATAACCTTAAAAAGTCTTTAGAAATGATACAACAATGACAAAATCATGGTGTGTTTTCCATGTTACTTAGTCTCTGTCTTCTTCTGCAGTGCGAAAACAGGAGATTATAAAGATCACAGAGCAATTGATTGAAGCTATTAACAATGGAGACTTTGATGCTTACACGTGAGTGATTTTTTTTTTTTTTTTAATGATTTATTTCATCATGCATTAATGTTGCATTATTTCTAGTAGGAAGAATTGAAATTAGTGCGTCTAAAGTCCACTTTTTTGGGGGGGTTTTGGCTAAAGTGGGGGGTAATTTGCAGGGAGCACAAGTCTTTGAAATAAAGTGCACATACCTGCAACATCTCTTATTTACTTTTGCTACAGCTGAATGTCAGCTGTTCTAAGCAGGCAAAGCTCCGATCACTTCCAAAACTTGCCCCAATTCTTCTCAACACCTACATTTCTTTTGGCCTAGCACTGTGATGGACTGCCTTGCTGGCCAGTAGGAATATACTGTATGTAAGGTAGGAAGGGCTGGACAAACTACATCACTACCAGGAAGATTTACATGTTCAGGACGTTTGACCTTAATTTGTAGCAGAGGCGTATGAGAGCTGCTGAAGGTATGTGCAGAGACCTCAAGTGCCGAAGTGTCTAAAGCTGGGTATACACTAGTAGAATTTTGAATGAAAATTCATAGGAAAAATTGTATGACAATTCTTACAAAATTCTCAGTGCATTCAAATGTCATTTGAAAATAGTTTCTAGATTTTGTTTGCTTTTAATATTTTGGTTATGGAATGAATGGACTTTACTGAACAAAAACCACGTACACAGTTACAATTTTGTAAATTCGAGGAAAAGCTTTCCATCCTGCTGCTTTGAATGTTTTCATCAGTGTGTCTAAATGACCGTTAATTTGACCTATTAATGATTAGAAAAACAAACATTCTTATAACGTTTTTACAACAAAAAATGTTGAACAAAATTGTACTAGTGTATACCTAGCTTTAGTTTTACTTTTAATAATGTGGCACTGTGGGGGCACAATTCTCACCATGATTTACAGGATCTTCCCTCTACTGAATGCATCAATGGAATCAATTTAATTTGTTTATAAACTCTTTTAAGGCCATAGAGGCAGACTGAAAAGTTGTATACAGTCTCAATGCTGGCTTATCTTTGGGAAAACAATGAGTGTACAAGCTGTTCAAAATGATCTAATATCCCATCAGCCGGGTCTCTCTGCAGGTCCCCATAGACATTAGCTTGTCAAGCAGACATCTTATATCTATGATCCATGGGCACCTTGCATTCAGAGAAGTCTTTATATGCATGTTTGTTATGTTGTGTGAGGTATGTGTGATTTGCAAGCATGAGGTCCTGGTTTAAAGTCTGCAATAATATCCAGAAGAGTTCAGCTACACCCCTGTTGTAGGATAGGAGTTTTGCTACTAGAGTAGTATCACTCCACTAAACAGAGCTATCAATGAAGTCATTCATTTTGTTGCAAAATTGCCACCTGGCACCATTTTGTAATTAAAAAGATGGACCAAAAATAAAAATATTTTCTAAGTTGTCCATTACAAGACACAATTTTAGTTTTCGACCATTGGGTTATTCATCTACTTTAAGGTTATTCAACACTGGCAAAGCAAGCTGCTCCCCAGGATCAACCCTCCCTCTTTCCTTAGGTATACGGACATCTTTCCTCTCTGCTCTGAGAAAAAGAATAAAAAAACTTTTTTCTTTGTTTTTATTTTTTCTTTGCTAACCTTTTGCATTATGATTTGTCTATCAAGTCTATAGCTGCTCATAGCTACTGCAGCTTCCATTTTGCAGCTTTCTGGATCAGTCAACTCCTCCTTGGCTATGCCATGGGGACAGTACCTGGACCCCATCAGGAATAAAATGCAGGACTGGCCTGTACTCTTGCTGTGGGAAATGGATCCTGTGTTGGCCCTCACATAGGCATATAGTGCACTGTGATGAGTTAGCCTATACAGGTCCAGAGTCACGTCACTGCCGCTTGGTGTCACCATGTCCCTGAATAACCCCTTAGTTTCTATGCCCATCAAGAGAACGACAAGGTGGAGGGACCTAGTCCTCATCGTCCATTAACTGCTGGGACAAGACACTACAGTAATTGGGGCCTATAGGCTTATCTAATAAGCCCAGGGTACTGTCATCCAGTCCCTTAGAGGCCAACTATGGGGTGCCAAAGCTGAACCCCCCTTTTTGTTGCAGCTCATAGTGGGAACTACAGCCATTCCCAAGTTTCGTAGGACACTGCAAGAGTTCCAGTTTGTATTTGGCTCTGGGCTACATCATTTTAAGCTTCAGCCCTCAACAGGATTTACGTTCACTGCTCTGATTGAAACTTGGAGGCATTTTTTCCTGTCCCTCCTGTACTCCTGTCCATAGCTATTTCTGTACCTGAGCAGCCTGGCATATTCCATTTTAATCTTTTGGTTGCACAGTTGGCTGATGCATCTACCTGCCTCCTCCTGGTTATTTTTGGCCTGGTTACAGAAGGTATACTCTCTTCCTGCTGTATGGTACAGGTTGTGAGTACCCCTGTGGGACATCTCCAGCTCACACTCTTCTAACAGCTTGGGAAATGGGGCGTCCTTAGATTCCTCTCTAGCTCCTTCTGGCACACCCACCTTCTTCTGACATTCCAGAGAAAAATTCTCAGTCACTGTGTCTGATAATATGGGAAGACTGTCTATCCTATTAGACATCTCAGATTGCATGGAACATAGGCTCCCTCTGCTTCTCTTCCAAAGTCAAATTCTGTCTCTTGTCTTGTGGCATCTGCTTCATGAATTGGAGGTGGGCTTCTCTTCTAGCCCAGAGACTCTGCACAGAAGGAGACTCAGTACACTGATATATCTCCCAAGCTGAAGGGCACTATTTTTTTCTTTACTGATGCAGCACAACTGTGTCTTGTTCTGGAGCTACCTGCGTCAGTCTGGTCACCAGTCTGGGATCTTAAAGATGCCTCAGCTGGCCAAAATGTTCCCACTGAGTGCGTTTATCTCTCAGCTGTGTATTTCTTTAGACAATCAGATTCTCTTTTTCATACCTGAGGGTCCCTCTAGAGGACTCATTCCATAGTTGTCAGGTGGATTAGGCAGGCCATCATGTAAGCCTACAGCTTGAAGGTTTAACGTTCCTTACTTTCCTGGTAATGCATTTTCTACTACCAGGTTTGTCAGTGCTATATAGGCTTTTCAGCATTAAGCAACTGTTTTCCACATTTTAATGCTAATTGGTCATCCTTTTTACATGTTTGTTGAGTTTTACCAGGTGGATATTCAGGCCTCTTCTGATGATCTCTGATTCCGAACCCTCTATTGCCTGTTTTGTTTTTGTAAGTTTGTTAGCATCTGTTGCTGTTGCCCACCCCTCTGTTACATTGCTTTTGGGCATCCCAGTCATCTACGACTAAGATCCTGTGTCCTGTAATGTGTGATTAAGAAAATAGAATATTTGACTTTCCTGTAAATTCCCTCTATTGGAGTATTTTACGGGACACAGGTCCCTGCCCTCTGTAATTTTGATCCACTCCTTGCTACTAAACTGAGGCTTGCTGTGCCCCGGGCCTGCCCTTACAGCTTTGTTTGCCAGTCAATCGAATGATAGCTGCTTAACTCCACTATCCAAGACAAAGATCTTGTGTCTTGCAATGTACAATAAGAAAATGGTTACAGTCAAAATGCCATGCAGCTAGAGGGGAAGTTAAAGGAACTTCTTATTCGGTTCAGAGAGAAACCACCATGAGGATTGTTCTATAAAGCCCAACAGCTAAACCTTTCAGAAGTCTGAAACTCTCAAACCATAGAGTGTCAGTGACATTTTACAATTGTAAAAGTTTGGACACTGTGTAAAATCTACATAAATACAGAATGCAATTATTTGCAAAATTAATAAGCTCATATTTATTCACAATAGAAAACATATCAAATGTTTAAACAGAGAAAATGTACCATTTTAATGAAAAAAAAAGTAATTTTGAAGTTGATGGCAGCAACACAACTAAAAAAAAGTTAAGACGGGTCAACAAAAAGCTGGCAAAGAAAGTAATACTAACATGGAAGAGTTGGAAGAACATTTTGCAACTAATTAGGGTAATTGGCAACAGATCAGTTACATGATTGAGTATGAAAAGAGCATCTTAAGAGAGTCAGAGTACCTCAGAAGTAAAGATGGGTAGAGGTTCATTAGTCTGTGAATACCAGCATCTAAAAATTGTCAGACAATTTCAGAATGTTTCTCAACGTCATATCATCTTCTACATTACGTAATATCATTAGATTCCAAGAATCTGGAGAAATCTCTGTGTACAATGGACAAGAATGAACAACAATATTGGATGCCCCTGACTTTTTGGCCCTCAGATGGCACTGCATTAAAAACAGGCATGATTCTGCGATGGAAATCACTGCACAAGCTCAGGAAAACTTCCAAAATCACTCTCTGTGAACACAGTTCGCCGTGCCATCCAAAAATGGACGTTAAAGCTCCATCATGCAAAGAAGCAGCCATATCTGAACTTGATCCAGAAGCGACGCTGTCTTCTCTGGGCCAAAGCTCATTTAAAATTCTGTTGTAAAGAGAAAAACTGTTCTGTGGTTAGACAAATAGAAATTTGACTTTTATTTGCAACCATGGGTGCCACGTCCTCCAGACTAAAGAGGCATGTTATCGGCGCCCCGTTAAAAAGCCTGCATCTCCGATGGTATGGGTGTACATTAATGCATATAGAATGGGCAGCTTGCACATCTGGAAAGACACCATCAGTGTTTAAATATATATCCAGGTTTTAGAGCAGCATATGCTCCCATCCAGATGAAGTCTTTTTCAGGGAAGGCCTTGCATATTTAAGCAGGACAGTGTTAAACTGCATACTATGACAACAACATGGCTTCATAGTAGAAGATTCCGAGTGCTTAGATGGCTTGCTTGCAGTCCAGGGCCATATCACACTTGTCATATAGATGCTGGGAACAACTCACCAGTGACAGAATTGTTATACAGGGACATTCTCATCTGCTTCCATGATGTGGCTACTTCGCTGGCCAGATGAGAGAGACATCACTTAGTGGCTGATGATATGCAGAGTTTTTGTCAACAAGACAGCAACACTTTCCTTATCCAGCCAGCAAAGGAGCCACACAAGAACTTAAACAAAAATGGAAACCACTCCAGTCAATTTATGCACATGGAAAGGTCTTTTCACAAAGCAAACAATACAAAAGTATCTCATCTCACTTGCCAGCTAGCCAGCCAAAAACAAAAACCCTAACTACCTACATTAGGCTTTAATTCTATGAGAGCCTCCATCTTGGAGCACATGTAGCATTGAAGATATGCCAAATCCAGCACACTGAAACAAAAATGGCATATGCTCCAGGCACATAGCAAGGGCTTTTCGCCAAACAAACAATACAAAAGTATTCCAACATACCAGCTAGCCAGCCAAAATAAAAAAAGTGCACTATTTTAACAATTTGATTTCAAAACAAAGGCTTTTAACCTCTGCTTTTAGGATTGGTTCACATCAAAATCGTACACAAACAGGGTCCGTGTTCCTGTGCAATTTTGGCAGCCCTGCAAATTGCACTGGACAGCACAAAAAAGTAGTGCATGCACTACTTTTGAAAAACGCACTTCTCCAAATCACATGGTACCACAGTACAGATCTGCATTTGGGGAGCCGTTAAAAATGTATTGGCACCAGTTGCAGATCGAATAAAGGCAGTGCATTTTGAATGCGGTGCAGGAAACATGCACAGAAGGTTCCTTTTCCGCACCATGTGTGAACCAGCCCCTAATACAAATTATTTGTGTATTTTTTTCTTTTTTTTTTCTTTTTTTTTTTTTTTTTGGTTGGCTAACTGGTGTGTTGGTATACTTTTGTATTGTTTGATGAGCTTAAGTTGGAGATATAGGAAAGTCCTCAATGATCAGATTTTAATCAGCACTAGTTCACTTTTGTAAGCCACCGTGCTAATTCATTACCGCAGACATGCCTATAGTCAAAATGAACACTGACAGATATATTTATATTTGTAGCATTGCAGTAATGGGGTGCTAATAGTTGTACATGATGATGAATTTGCTACCAACTTTCAGTTTCCATTTGTTTTTGTATTTCACAGGAAGATATGTGACCCTGGCTTGACTTCATTTGAACCTGAAGCTCTTGGTAACCTTGTTGAAGGAATGGATTTCCATAAATTTTATTTTGACAATTGTGAGTGTGACATTGTTTGTTTTTTCTTTCTTTGTGATACAAAAATTTCAGTGTATATGTGTTATCATGAAAATGTCCATAGTGGAGTGCATCTGTGCAATCTATTCCAGAATGCAGTCAATGTTTTGCTAGGATATACTTTAATAACATAGAAAAGCTTCCCTGCAGAGAAAACAATCATTTGGTCGCCAAAACTGTAGTTTCAAGTGAAACTTTTCTTAGAAACCGATATCTTTCAGATGAACAATATTCATGTCAAATATATGACAATTTTATTGGCATCTTACATTTCCATTTTCAAACTGAATGCTAAATCAGAAAATCTGCTGTAATGAAGAAAAATAAGCATCATTTGCTTTGGCTTAGCCTTAGAGTCTTGGAAGGTATGTGTAGAGCATGACTGTAATATGATTTCCATGTTTTTGGAGACATCTGGAAAAATCTGTTTGATTGATATATATATATATATATATATATATATATATATATATATATATATATATATATATGCATTATATCAAAGATCTTGTGTTTGTTTTTTTTTTTTTTGTTTTTTTTCCATATTGTTTGTATCCCTGCCAACTGTCTTTCTAGTGTGATTCTACTGCAGGAACCACAACTGTATCACCAACCCAAAACTGATTTTTTAAAAATTATTTTCTCTGTTGTGTTTTGAATAACTTTTTTTAATATTTTTTTTCTAGTGTTGTCCAAGAATACTAAGCCTATCCATACTACCATCCTGAATCCCCATGTGCATGTAATTGGGGAAGATGCAGCCTGTATTGCTTATATCCGACTTACACAATACATTGATGCCCAGGGACGACCTCGTACTACACAGTCAGAAGAGACAAGGGTCTGGTATCGTAGAGATGGCAAGTGGTTGAATGTCCACTATCACTGCTCTGGGGCCCCAGCTGCCCCCCTTCAGTGAGGAACCAATTCAGGTACGTAGGAAAAAGTTGAGAAAAGATGTAGACCAGCTGTCCTCACACTATAGCCCATGGGCAAGCCCAATGCTTTACTTTTAAGGCACGCATAATGAGAAGGCCCTGCATACAGGGCCTTCTCTTTGCACATTAGTGCGCCTTTATGCAGACTGGCAGCAGGTGTCGAGCATGACAGAACTTGGCAGTGCACCTTCGTCAACACTATTGGGCCAAATGATCTTATGCCTGATGGACCACTAACACTGGGGCATCTTTTTTTCTTTTTTTTTTTTTTTCCCCACCATCCACTGATACAAAGGCTTTTACCTAGCCCACCAATAGTAATAGCACAGTGAACTTAAATGTTTAAAAAGTTTCAGCTATAGGCAGATGAGATGTAAAAAAACAAAATGCAGGTATGCATGTCAGGAAGAAAAAAAGTATCAGTTCGCTAACTAGACCGAGAAGGAATGCCTTTCAAAATTTATAAATCTCTTTTGATGACCCATCCCTACATTTTTGTAGGTGTCTAATATTTTACCTACAGCAGCGGCCTTTTCTAACTTTATTGGGTGTGTCACAGATCAATAGTAGTTGGGGAAGCAAAAGCTCTGTGAGCAATATTGAGCACTTGTAATGTAAAACGTTCTTGTTATTGGTACTTATGGTTACCCTTAAATATGTAGTGCCTGCCCATCTCCTTGGTCCGTGAAAGAGAAGAGATATCAGGTGGTTTAGAGTCATCCTTATATTCTCCCTTTCCTTTTTGAAAGTGCCAGATCTGCTACAGTCAGTCATGTATTTTGGGATTAAAGTTTGTCTGGGAAGTGGAAAAAAAATATTCAGTACATTTCTGCAATCCATACACATTGCCCATGTTTTATCTGTTTAAAAAGCCGCAGGTGTCAGTTTTTCCAGGCAGAACTGATCAGATGGTCCATTCATCCCTATGGACCGGCAGGTGTACACAGACTGACTGTTTTACACCTGTCTACCTCCGGTCCGATTCAGTTCGCTTTTAAAAGAAAAAACAAAAATCAGGAGGAATACATCCTCTTCCATGTAGGTGGATCAAGGGGCAGTCAGGTGTAAATGGACAGCAGAGTTTGTTTACTCTCGGCCACCCATAGAGCAGATGTTTCACTGTCCGCTCTGCTCTGACCAGCAGGGGATCAGCAGACAGATCCCCTGCCAATCTCAACGAAGTCTGCGCCTTGTACAAGGGGTCTATCTATCACAAAATATTGTAGCTGCAGTAAGGGTTTAGATAACCAAATGCCAGAGTCTGCAATTAAATTAGAGGAAAAAAAATAGAAATAAATGGTTCAGTGGTGTGCATTATATAATATATTCCCCTAATTTCAATTATTTTGTTGCTTTTTCTTTAAATTTTATAACAATGTCTTTTTCTCCCCCCTTAAACAGCCTCTCCCGTGGAAGAACCTCTTTCTATTGAGCGAGTGTGGATCGCCCAAACGACGGCAACTGTCCCGTTCGTTCGGATGTTTTAAAAAAGATAAAAAAAAAGTACATAAAAATTCAAAAAAATAAAATTATTGATGCCGGCAGTAGCCAAAAATGCACGAAAACCCTGCATGCATTCTGAGGCTGAAGCAGCTGCTGGCTAATTTGTTGTATTTCATGGATCCATCGTGTCTGTTCCTGCTGTACGGAGGTGTTTTTAAAGTTTCAAAATGAGCAAAAACTAATATAAAATAGTATATATATATTGTTTGATAAAAATCAGGCTGAGGAATATGCAGCTGCTTTTAGAAAGAGAAAGGTTGAGACGGCCACCTGAAGCATCATTTGGGAAAAATTACAAAACTAATAAGATGTGTATGGACTAGATCTTTTCAATGAAAAAAGCTGCTGGTTCATGTAATGCTGTTGTAGAGAAAGGAGGAGTAGTTTTATGAGGACTGGTGTCTTCATTTGTTAAGTGTTGACTTGCAAAAACAAGATAAGGTAGAGCCAGGAAAGGAAGTGTTCATTTTGTTTCATCCTTTATTTTATTTGTAATGACTATTAAAACCTTCCAGGTATTGTCAGCTGAGCTGTTGTTTTACCTCCAATGTAGCACTGAGCTGGAGATATTGTTATCCATCCAACTGGCTCCCAAGGGCAGAACTTGGTCTATGTTAAGAAGGGAATGGGCAGGGGGGGAGAATTATTACAGAGATACAAAGCTATATAAAAACTGAATATAGAATGTACATCCTGCAGAAGGAACCATTCATTAGTGGCAATGTTAATATAATTAATTTTTCGTATGAACTCTTCAGAGAAAATAGACAAAAAATAGAAACTGCCATGTTATGGGAAGTGTTCATGCATAGACATCTTCCCTTGTGGTATATATGTAAAGGGGGCTGATATATTTTCACAGCGATTAAAGCTTTGTGTACTATTAAGCAGATTTGGAGACAGTCTGCTTGTAAGTCATGTGTGGTCTGTCATGAGTGAAACGATACACTGAACTCAAAATGCGTAGAGATGTATGCATGTCTTTCTATACTTGCCTGCACCTTCTAAACTGTGTGCTCTAATGGCCCCTTCATTAATTTTTTTTTTTCTTAGCAAGAGGGTTAACAGTGTCTGATAAATTCATTTTTGTTTTATTTTTTGAAAACTAAGTCTTTAAGGTGTCTACTTTTTTTTTTTTTTCCTTTTTGTAAAACCCTCCACTTTCCTTTATACATGGTATCTAAAATGACATTCACCTCATTTACAAAATGCCATTTAGATTCAAAAGAACCCTTGATGTTCTTGTTTGTGGGTTGTCCTTTATAGAGAGCTAGGCTCTCTTTGTATCCTATCTGAATAAGCAGATGTGTAATCTAGATTTTGCATATCAAGCGTTGTTAAGCATACAAATGCACAAACTGTAATTTGCCTTTTTTTGACACAAGTCCAATAAACAGCCATCCACTTTTATACACGCTGATGTAGAACTGCAACAAAAAGTCTGTTTTTAGGAGTTTTGAATTTCTTTGGTCGCCTTAATTACTCGCACAAAATAGAAAGAAAAAAATATAATAAGACTGAAATTCATACCTACATGTTCTCCCCCCCCCCCCGATGCGTTTTCTATGGAAATTGGAAAGCGCATCAAAACACGTGAAGGCTTATTGGTGCGTGTTAATGTACATTCTTTGTGTTTTCAGTGTGCGTTTCAATGCACTTTCTATTGAATGTCAGTGTGTGTGTGTCATAACACACCGTTGTGCATTGATGCATCAATATGCATCTTGAAGCATGCATTTTGATGCGTTACATTGATTTCAATGGAAAACACGTCAAGAAAAAACCTCAGATGTGAGTCCAGCTAATAGGAAAAAGAAGGCTCTTTAAAGGTTTACTGTTAGAAATTGTTAAATTGCCATTGTTGCACAATTTGGACTTTTTTTTTTTTTTAATGTTTTGATAGGTGCATGTCATGGTATGTCAACCCCACTTGTGATAAAATTAATAGTATGTTGGGCTTACAGAAGACATTTGTATTTGTGAAAATTTGCACATGGCCTAAGCATGTTCTCCAGAATTCCTGAGATGACCAGTGCAAGATGTAATGGAAAGAAATTATTAGATGGCTAAGTATTAAATCAGATATTGACGTAGACGACTATGAGAATGGGGTTAATACAAATCAGTTTGGAATGCTTGTGTGAAATTTATAAGAGCACACGGGGTGGGGGTGGGGGGATGGGAAGGGAAGGGGGTGCTTTTTTCATGGTTTTCAGGGAGATTTTTTTTTCTTTTTTTTTTTTTAGTTTTTATTTAAACAGCACTAAATCTTAACAAGCTGGGAAGAAAAGCTTTTTGCTTTTTACGTTAAAAGGGAAAACCAAACAAAAATATATGCAGTTAAGAAAAGTTATGCATGTCTTCTTTAGGTCTGCTCCGTCACTGTCTGTTTACTTGATTATTAATATGAGAATCGCTCTGTATTTAGTGCATCTTTCTAAGAACAATAAAAACAAAAAACTTTATATTTTTTCTGTTATTTTTTTTTCTTTTCTTTTGCACTGTCTTTGGGGATTTTTTTTCTTTTTAAGTTAATTAAAAAAAAAAAACTTAGCTTGGTATGGTCATTATCTGACAAACCACTTCTAGCATTGTTACTGTTATCTTATGGGGCTAATGTAAGCATATATATAATATATATTATAAATATCACGTTTTAAACAGGACTTGGAAAGGCATTTGATGCAGAATCTTTGCATGATAATAGAAAATAAAACAATTACCCTGTGTTTGTTTGTTCTGAATGTTGGTAGATCTTCATAGCTTTGTTATATTGAAACCTTGGAAGAAGGTATTTAATAAAATAACAATTAAACCATGCTTTCTGTTTTGTCTCAGTGTTTTACACACAAAAATGCTCCTTTAAGAAACAAATTGTACAGAATGTTTTTTGCAACTTTTAAAATTATTTCTTTGCATTTTTCATGATCTCTCAGAGTTTATTTTTAAAACGTACAGCGGGACTTCACTGCATCTGAGCAGCACAAACCAAAAAGGCTATTTAATTAATTTTTAGTATTCAAAGCAAACTCCCCATCCATCCATGTTTACATGCTTTGTTTTGCTAAGAAATCACTTTGAAAATCATCTAGCATTTCTGGCCGTGGCCATCTTGAGTAAGGGCAGAAGATTCATGTAACATTTACTTCCTGGAATGTATCTGTCCTTACCTCAGGCATACAGCCAGGAAGGTTTGCTTAGCTAAGAAAACCACTCCTTCCTTCCTGAAGACTCCCGGGATGTATGACATTTGCCTAGCATGGAAACCAGAAAGTAACTGAAGAAATGTAAAAAAAAAAAAGAAAGTTTAAAATGAGAAAATCTGATAAACTTCCCAATCTATTTACTAATGCTGGCAGAAAAAGGATTGACTGAGCAGGTGAAGTTCTGCATTAACATCTTTTTTCTTTTGTTTTTGATAGTGGGGAAGGAGTAGAACCTTTGTTATGTTTCTATAGCTGCCTGTGTCTCCATTGGT